TTATTTCTTAGAAATCTATTTTTAGTTTTAATGAAATTGTTCTGGGGGGGTTTTATCTGGGAGGGACATAATTGCCTGGGGGCATTTTTCTGTGTGTGTGTGTGGGAGAGACACCTATTTTCCTTGGTTGGATGACAAATAATATTTCAAAACAAGGTTACAAGCAACAAAAATGTTTCCTTGAAGAGATGATCTAGTGAGGAAAAGAGAATACTTATCTTTTTCTTTTATTAGGTGGTGAAAGATGGAGTTAATTCTCAAAACAGAAAGAACTTTTGCGATCTTGGTTCATTTCAGTTGCCAAAGATATGCCACAAGTTGATGTCAAATTGTTCAAGAGCATTTTTAATGACAACAACAAAAAAGCAAATGTATATCACTGGGTGGTGTAATTCCTGGTTCTTGGGTTTTTTTGTTACAGACATCAAGGATTTCAGAGGGTGTTAGACCATCCTGGGCAAATAGAGAACCACAAAACCCACACCAGAGTCATAATGTATGTTGTGATCTCTTTATGTCCTGGAAGCTGGGGTTCATATCTGTAAAGTTATGTACAGCTGTGGCACAAAGAACAAGGAATTCAACACAAGTGGCATTAGAAAAGAATGGAATCACCACAGACTGAAGGCCACATTGAAATCATTCACATTTAATAGCATCTTCTCCCTCCTCCCGATCCACTCCATTGTTCTCCCACACAAAAGGGCTCTCTTGGTGCTTCTTTGTCAACCTTCTTGACACCTGAAAAGTTCTTCCGGTACCTCACTGTCAAGGTTTTGCATAACACCAGTCTTAGATTTTGGTGTGAAGATACTCCTGGAATATGCAGGGTTAAAGCTGCAGTTCAGCTGAAATAGACACAGTTCCCTAATCTTTTGACTTTTTATCTCTGCGTTCAAAAAAAGTTAAAAAAAAAAAAAAAAAAGGAAATATTTAAAGGTTGCAATAAATAAGATGAGCCTAGGTTTGCTAATTGACAAAGTGTTGATCATAAAACCAAGTGTGTGTATGTTTTCTTCCTTGATGAGGAATGGGGCGGATGCAGCTCTGTGGGTTATATGGGTCCATGGTTCCACTTGGTAGGTTGTGTGCTCTCATCCTTTAGCACTGGGCCCTTGGGCAAAGCTGTCCCAGGGGTGCTGCATGCTGGCCAGGCCTGCTGTCTGACTTTTCTCACCTATGTGTTGGTTTGTTGGACAAGTCTATGCTTAAGAAATGTAAAAAAAAAAAAAAAACAGGAAGGAAATCAGGAAATTCCAACCTGTTAATTCATGTGTGTGTGTGTGTGGGGGGGGGTCTACCTATCTCTTTGAGCAAGTGATTCAGATTGCAGGCTGTTTTAGCCATCATTGCTCCTTATCTAGACTTAGAACCTAAAGGGACCTGAAACTTTAGACAGGATTGGAGTGAATATTATCACTGGATATGGGCTATACACACTGGTTTCAAAGGACTGATTTTCTAGTTTACAGATGACCACCTAGGAAGACTTGGCTGACTCTTTCTGTTTGTGAGAAATATTCCTTCCTGCTTGCAATTTTTGGCACCAATGACTCTTCTGCAGCCACAGGCCGACCTGCAAGCCCTCGATCCAGGCAGGTCTAACCGGAACTCACCAGTTGACTAAACAGATGTATTCCATCTTGCTTAACGTAAAACTTACAAATTTCGCAACCATCATGAGAAAAAGCTCCAAATAATTTGTTCATTGTTGGAAGAAAGAGGGATGGACATAAACTCTTGTGCCCTTGAATTTCTCCACATCATCCTGGCAGGAAAAAACCATACAGTGATAATTAATATGCTTTTTGTTCTATCAAACTTTCATTCATCCATACATCGACAGCAAATTTGTCGCAAGTTATGGTAAAAAGTAATGGTGATGGTGCTTGTTGATAAAAAAAGAAATAAGCAAATAAAAAGTTAATTTAGAGTAATTATATGGATTATTGTGTTTAGTGACTTAAGAAGGAGGGCAAACATGTTGGCTTTCTGCATTATAAGGAGATCAGCAGTTGAAGAACAGCCTGGGTGCTGGTCTGAATAGTCAGGGTAGGTGGTTTGTTGCCACGTTCGCTGACAATACTAAAGAGCCCCTCCAGTTTGGATGGGGACCAGCCATCTAATAAAAACCAGGCAAGCACCTTATCTAAATTAAGAGGTATAATTAAGAAGGTTAACGGTGAAAAGCTGTTTGTGGTGATAGGTGGTGTATTATTGGTGATTGGTGCGTGGGAGGTCTATTCTGTCACTACCAACCCCCCCATGGGGCCAGGTGGGCTCACAGTGGAGTCTGTATAATCAGAGGAGGAACTGATCCAGTCCTTAGCCTGATACCTAAGAGGAATGTCAATGTATGCCACTAGTACACCAATTCTGTCCTCCAACTGTGTGATAGCTAAACATTCCTAACACTGAAAGTAATCTACACTGTTAGCGGAATATTTACACTGTACATGCTGCAAGACTCATGCAATTCAAGCGTGCTCTTGCCAGGGGACATGATAAATACTTATCCTGTATAATATAGCCAGATTTCACATTAGTCTTTAGCTTTAGTCTTAACCATTTTCTCCTTAGGGTGAATTTCTAGTATTTATTTATTGCCATATTTGTTTGTGAAACTGAAGGTAAATCCACTTAAAAATGTACGTTATGTTCATGAACATTTAATTGTTTCACCAAACTTTAGCAATAATATAGAATACTGTTATATCTAACGCTTATAGGTCTAATGAGTGGATACATCCCAATGTAATATCTCAGATGTAGTGATTTATTGATGTTAATGATTTGACTGCAAAAACCAAGTTCAACAGATTTTACAGTGTCATCTTAAAGACCCTTATTGCCTTTTTTCTATAGAACACAATGTGCATTCTGGTGGAATGGTGAGATCACACCTGATGCTACATTGCTGGGGCTACATTCCTGCACCTTCTCCGTCCGTTGTATAATCAACATGTTTGAGTGACTTATTCTGGTTTACTTGAATTGTTGTCTCTGCATTTTCTGCAGCGTTCCATTTTCAGCTGAGGGATAGCTGGTGTCCTCTCCAGGATGCAATGTGCTCTCTGCTTCCTCAAATGGGCTTCAGGCTTCCTTTGACCTCACATCAAGTAACTGGTTGGATGGAAAATTAGGTTGACTTTGTGTCACTTTCCAAGCTAGCCTGACAGCTTTTTTGGGTCTTTCGCTTTTGGCAAGTGAAGGAGGAACTATTTTAATCCTCGTGAATGATTCATGCTGAGATGACATGTAAAGATGTGAGGGGTATTACTGCCCCCTGTCTTACAGTGACCCCAGAACTGATCTGCATTGCCATGGTTTCCTAAATCCGCTTCCCTCCGTGAGCAGCTGAACTTCTGGGGCCGTACTTGGCTGCGGTTGCCTGCTTTCGGGCTGTTATGGTTCAGGGTCCAGCATGTGGTCTCTTGCTCAACACCAGATAAGTCAATTCGCAATTTTGTTTTCTGTTTCATACTGAATTTAGTTCCAGCTCACAGCTGGTTTGCCCTGCTGCTCTGTTGCTTGTATCCAGCGTGCATATTGTCTTACTTTTCTACCTACTTAATGCACTCAGTATTCCAAGCAAAGCACAGCTTGACACAGCCTACACACACACACACACACACACACACAGCTGGGTCGTTTTTCCTTAAATCGGGTCAGGCAGAACACAGGGTTGGTGGGTGGTGGTAGTAGTGGGGGGTGAATATCCAAAATATGTTAGTCAGGTCATTCATTGACCTTGACCTTGTTGCTAAGATACACTGTTGCTAGGATATGAGGACCTAGTTGAGATAAAGCTTTGACTAGATAGGAAAAGAATGTTTCTTTCTATGGGATGTGGTCTCCCCCACAGAGAAAAACATTCTCTCTTGAATTACCCAAGTACATGAGAAAGAGGGAGAGTGAGAGAAAGAGAGAGAGAGAGCCTGTGTGTAAGTTTTTGTGCATATGCATTTTAATGCCATGCCTTGCATCAGACAGTGCATATCAGCTTATAATGAGATTTCAACTGATTTTGCACTTTTCTGGGTGTCTGTTACTGAAAACAATGTTTTGGTCCATGAGAAAACAAGACCAACCAAATTGCTAATGTGATTGGAATGTAACTGTTAGCTTTTCCTTACCAGTCCTCATTGTTTTCATCCTCAGACCTCTGTTTCTCTTATCTCTCCCTTAAAATCTTTCTCCTTCCCTCTCTATTTCTTCTCAAAGCAAGCACATATCAAATGCCATTAACATTATCCTATAGAGACTTTGTCACCTCCCGCATGTATACATGCTTAGTGTCTGTTGGTGTTATTTTCTGTTATTTGTTATTTATTGTTTGTGTTTTTTGGCTTTGTCTACTGCATGCAGGGAAATAAGAATTCAAAGTATGGTGTTCTGCGACAATGAAACCTCAAAAAACCTTCAAACTTAACGTTTTCCTAGCTCACCTCAACTTTTGTGTGCTACTAGTTAGGCTAAATCACGGTCTAATGATGGCCCACCTTATTACAGAGCACGTAACAAGGTTTTTGCTTAATGGCTAAAAATCATAAAACCAAGATTCAGCACACCGCCTATAGCTGCTCAACTCTCCTCTTCTGCGCCAGGTACCCCATCTCCTTTATGATAATGTCAGGTGGTTTCCACAATGCTACGGCTTTCACAAGTGGAAACCAGAGGAATTCACTGGGAATACATTTACGGAGTCATTTCCTGACAGAAGCAGGGAGGATGTTCAGTGGAGTAACATGGAACCATTTCAGGATGTGGGCGGCACCCTGCTCAGCAGGAGACCAGCCTGTATCTGTACAGGATGCTAGCTGATCACAGCGTGCCCACACAATGGGTGAATTACACACACCACTTGCTATGTTTTTTTTTTTTTTTTTTTTGCTTAACAGAAATGCGCCATGGGTAGAACATACAAGCCTGACACCCAAAGAGCAGGCGTGCCACTTAAATCCACAAGCGACACAGCGACAGCCTGCAGTGTTATCCACTGAACTTATACAGCATTATTGTGTAACTGACACGGTATTTAAAAAACACTATTCGAAGAAAACTGACTGGTTCCAGGGCTGGTTCTGACAAACCTTTTAATAAATTAGGCTCACCCTGCGGTTGACTGACACACCCGTGTGTTTTTTTCGGTTGAAACTCCATCATCGGGGTGGAGAACGCACAATGAGCTGTTTATGAAGCACTGTCACCCAGATGTCGCATGTGGAATTGCGTATTAGCTCCTCCGCTGTCCGCTGTGGTCACTGGCGTTCACCCTGTGCTTTGCATCGACGTCTCGGCTTTACTGAAGGTTATGATCTTCCATTACCCCGCCGGATAACCAGGACTGCCCCAGCACGCCACCAGATTGGCTCTACTTCTAATTTTATGAGGTCCATTTTTTCAGCACGATAACTGATCTATTGTTCTTGTCATCTTACTGCTTTCCGCTCGGGGACCTGAACCGGATTAGGTCAGCGGACATGTAGCCCTGCGACGGAGCCTAAAGACCGGACCCACGTGCTGGCACGAGCCGATGCACTTATACAGTTCCCTGCATTTAAATGCCGGACCCCGATAAGTCGTAAACTTTATTTTTTTGCATTATTCAATAGAGCACTTCGGGGTAGTGTAAAATTTGTAACTGGAATATTAAGAATGCCCGAGAATTTGCTGGAATACACATCTTAGAACTCCCACTCTTATTAATAGGAAGGGGGCTGAGGGATATGTTTAGAGAGCTGTCACTCTAGTTCTTACCTCCCACTCCATGCTATTAACGATAAGAAACCCCTACATTTCAGCAGAGGCGAGATCCCAGGCAGACCGCTACACTTAAGCACAACCTTGCGGAATATAATTTACGTGATGTTTGAAACGATACCAAATTGGCTGTTACTTATCACTCTTATCATTTTCCTGGCTGGTAAGTTTTATGTGTTTTTTCTTCTCCTGAAATCTTGCCTCTTGCCACTCTGACTGAGAATATCTGTCTTTCGGCGGCTGTAAGATTTAAGCTTATGTTGCTGTGAAGAAGTTTTTCTTAAGTGCATTCTCCATTTTATTAAACCGCTAGTCAAGTTTCAAACAGGTAATTAAAAAGAGTAAGATTTCAGTGACTTGGAGCTACATTATATACACACGAGATTTCTTAACTGGTGTGATAATACATAGTGTGCATATTTTCAGGCAGGTATATTTAAAACGCTCCTACCACTGAACTAAAAGGTCAGCGGGGTCTGAATGACTCCCATTGTGTCCCCGCGCAGACGTGCAGTGGAATCCGACTATCAGATTTCCTTAATTAGGTCTGAAAAATACGCCTCATTGTTTTACGTGAATAAATAACGACAAACTTGCACACCAGGGGCGCCGTAAGGGGGAGGAAAGCTAGGACGATTGACAGGGGCCCTAAAAAATTAGGAAAATAACTGGATTGGTTTGGACTGGGGGGCCTAATATGATATGCTTTCATGGGGCCCAAAATCTCTAGCAACGCCCCTGTTGCACACATTGAAATGTGATGACGTATGCAGGCTGAAACTCTTTAAAATGAGTCTTATCAATAAGTAATTTCTGTCCATTTTTCTAAAATTGAGGACAGAGAACTTATTTGACCACATTCCCTATTCCCCCACTGTCAAGTCGCACAACGGACGTTTAAATTACATTGGCTTGAATTGTATTGAATTCTGTAAATTATAATAAAGCTGTCCTCCAGAAAGGGGGTAGGTGGTTGGGATAACTAATTAATAAATAAAAAAGCAAACAAACGAATAACCTTGATAGTGGAAATTACACATTATAATAATTATTATGTAGCCAATAATCTCCCACCTTATGAGACATTTTATGAGGGCAGGGGTGGCCAATCTTATGAGCGTTTTTGCTGCAACTCCCTAATTAGATTACTAATTAGAGGACTGATTGGCTGAAGGGTCCCCCACACCTGGGCTTGAACAGCTGACTGTAAATATGCCTACATACTGGCGTTTTGGGGATAAACCACCCCTGGTGTAGGGCATGACAGAAATCCTTAATAGAAGTAAAAAATATCGATTAAAGACTGTATGACGTATTACCACAGCAGGGTCATTGTATGTTTAATAGACAGTCCTGAAAAACAGAATAATATATTCAATAATAATAATAATAACAATAACAATAATAAATTTGTGTATGATATATATGCAATTAAAAAAACAGACAGCACTGGACTTCTACTGTTGCAGAGTTGCTTCTTGATGTATTGTGGCTGGGGGTGGGGTGAGGCATGTTGGAGGAGGCATTGTAGTGCTTGATGGCAACAGGTAGGAATCTCAGAAAAAAGGGTAAAAATTTGTACCTTTGCTTGTCACTGAGGCTGTACCCTCAAGGGTCTGCCAATTTTACCCTTAGCTGTAGGTATTCGTACTTTTTAAGGTACAGAAATGGACTACATTAATGCTGTTTGTACCTTTGGGACGTTCCTCAGAGTCCATTTCTGTACCTTACAAGGTACAATTACAAGGGTGCAGCCCCAGTGTCAAATAAAGGTATGAATTTTTATGTGTTTTTCTGAGAGTGTTGCACAGGAAGTCCAGCTCCATAACAGGATCCACAGGAGGCAAGCAGAAAGCATGTTGGCAAAATTGGACAACGTTATGAACAATTCTGCCCATTTATTGTAGGGGCACAATGATAGAGCACCTTTTGCCTGCAGCTCATTATGGCTTTTTTGTTTTTGCAGCTGCCTTTGAAATGTTTATTATTATTATTATTATTATTATTATTATTAGTGTGTTTATCGGTTTAGCAAATTCATAGCTAAAAATAGGTGGAGAACAATAAAAAGATCATTAAAATGACATTTTATGCATTTTTTTTTTTTGCTTTCACAGCTGCTGATGGCTGTCTTGAGCTCCATCCTCCCAGAGTGGTGGTGAGACATGGAGACCCAGTATCAGTGAACTGCACAGTGTCCACAGATCACAGTGGGATGGGCTGGGCAGCTCCAGTAGATGACGTACCTATTACACCTGGTGTCCAGTTTCTCACTTGGAGGGTGGAAAGTCTGACAATCTGGGACTTAAGGCCTCTGTGTTTTGCAAACCGTCTAGGAAAAGCTCAATGTATGGAACGTCTCTCAGTCACTGTGTACAGTAAGTGTGTCTCTTCTGATGGAGCTACTGCAGCTGTCAGCTCTCATACACCTGGGAAATATTCAACCTGAGCATCACCTTAAAACATCAGTAAAACCCAGCAGAATATTTCACTGTAAGGCATGGATGTCTCTATGTGTCTCTGTTCCTATAAGGCACAGCTGTCTCATTTGTGAGTTATTTTTGAGAAATAATGCTTCTCATTTTCCCTCACAGAACCACCAGACAGTGTTTCTGTCAGTTCTGTGGACTCTGCTGACTCCATGGTGGAGGGGAGTCAGTACCAGCTGAAGTGTGAGATCCAGAACATCGCTCCTGTTCAGAACCTCACTGTGAAGTGGTACAAAGGGGACACATTAGTACATGAAGACAGAGACTATGTCATAAAAGACAAAAAACCTGTGAGTGTGGCTTCCACCCTCCTGATCACCCCCAGCAGAGCTGATGATGGAGCAGAGTACAGTTGTGGGGCAGAACTGGACCTGGGACCAGAAGGACCACAACCCCCCCTTGCAGTGAAATCAACACTCCTCAATATCACTGTGCACTGTGAGTATTTAACTTCAGTCTGCCTGTGTCACCAACATTAGAACAGTTTATTCAGAGTGAATTATCGTTGTCTGTATGAATCTAAGTACAGTATTACAGTCTATATCAGTAACGTCACCGTGAGAGTCAGAATTGTCTGTCTCTTCCTGAAATACCTGCAGTATTAATCTGTTGTCACTGGCTGTCTGTAGCAGCAGCATCTCTCTGTGCCTATAGGAATATGGCTTCCTGGCCAGTCACCTTCAGTCCTTTTTGTCCCGGGATCTGTGTGCCTGTATAATTGTTTGATCATAATCCAGTGCACCCCCCCCCCCCAACTGTGCTAAAATTTATTTTGGCCACTTTGATTAAGGGACAATAAGAAATTTTCGAGGATTAAATGGGGAGATTTATTGGGCAACCTTCATGGTGAGAAGGGGGGTATGAACTGGACATGATCCAAACACAGTTTGCTCCCCACCCTGAATATGTACCCATGACAGCAGGGAGTCAGTCTGCTGTTTCCCCAGCTCTCTCCCTCACACACATACAGATTGAGCTTCTGTTTGGTTACGGTTGGGTAGCAGGGCTTGTCCCCAGACCACGCTGTCCATCCAAAACACTCTGAAACACTCCTGTGTTTCACAATCTGCTCAATGTTTTAAATGAATGAAGAAGCGACCTCACTGTGTCTTACTATTCCAGTTTCAGATTTGTTTCTCTTTATATTTATATTAATGTTTTTTATCCCCCAGACCCACCAGTAATCAAAGAAGGGAACGTCAGTCTGACTGTACCCCAGGGTGGGACGGTGTCTCTGTCCTGCAGCGCCGAGGGGAAACCCCCTCCTCAGGTCCAATGGAGCTATAGAGATGCTGGGAATGTGAGGGTCACCAGCTCTGGGGGCAACAGCACTGCTGTCATCACAGAAGCTTCATCTGCCAATGAAGGGGTTTACAACTGCACTGCCACCAACTGGCTGGGGAGTGACACTGCAACAGTGTTTGTCACCGTGACCAGGACCAGCACCAGCCCACCACTGGACACAACAACAGCGTTTGTCACCGTGACCAGGACCAGCCCCCTACCGGACACAACAACAGCATTTGTCACCGTGACCAGGACCAGCCCCCTACCGGACACAACAACAGCATTTGTCACCGTGACCAGTACCAGCCCACTACCGGACACAACAACAGCGTTTGTCACCAGTGCCACACCCATCCCGTCTGTACTGCCAACACAGCGTAAAAAATCAGGTAAATTGGATATCATAGTACAGCATAGGGTGACGCAGTGGTTACCATGGTTACCTCTTACCTTTGGGTCCAGGACTCAAGTATCTGCCATGGTTCCATGTGTATGGAGTTTGCATGTGTTCCTTATGTTGTTGTGGGGTTTCCTCCAGGTTTCCTCCAGGTACTCTGGTTTCCCCCCCAGTGCTGAGGCTAATTGGAGTTACCAAATTGCCCATAGGTCTGTTGAATAGGACAAGCATTTCCAGAAGATGGATGGATGGATGGATACTGTGAAATATTACTGTGAAATGACAGTTTTTTTTGTCATGTGCAAGGTACACAGTCAGGCCACAACCTGCAGTGAAATGTCAGGTGGTCAGCTCATGAAGGCATGCCATAAAACCTGACGTACACATGCAGTTCCTCAGACCTGCACCTCTGTAATAAACACATCAAATTAAGGAAAATGTAAAAGGATATTAGACACATTCAAGGAATATTACATGAAAAACAAGCAGCTTGACTGCGAAAGCGGGTGTTTAATGAAAATGCTCAATCCTTGGCCATCTGTGCTGGTCACATAACCAGCCCATTGTAGTAACCAATAGTTCCTTTATTTACAGTGTTCTTGGTCAGTTACAAGAACTGCGTCACTGTACAGTTTCTCTGTATGGTGACTTCTCACCATGAGTATGAATATCACACTGGAACTCCGTCAGATAGTGAGGAGTGAAAGAATACAATCAAAATCTGTCCTCCTATGCTCGNAGCCTCATCTGCCAATGAAGGGGTTTACAACTGCAGTGCCACTAACAGGCTGGGGAGTGACACTGCAACAGTGTTTGTCACCGTGACCAGGACCAACATGATAGTCGGTACATACATTCTGTTATATTAATTTTTCAAAGTACATCGAACTTGTTCTTTGTACCTTGGTCCCCAAAACACTTGGTTTTTGCTGCTTTTTAATACTAATTTAATATGACAAGACACAACTCTTTCTAATGTCTGAATTTCTCATTACGTCTCTCCCAGGTTTCATCATCTTCATCATCTTCATCATCATCATCATCATCATCATCATCATCGCCATCGTCATTTTTTGCAAAATGAAAAACCAGAGAGGATCATACTCCTTTATGATAATGCAGCCGATTAGCACAGCAACAAATGGAGCAGCAAGGAGTCTGCCTGCTAACGGGACACAGAACTAACTTCTTCAGAGATCTCACCTGAGAGACAGTCCGAAGTCGGAAGAAGCAGGGTTGCCAAGTTTGATCAGCTGGCCGCCGTGAGATTTTCAATTCGAGACAAGCCCACACACCTATTTAAATCAATGTTATAGTTTTATTACATTGTAAATAGTCTGTAGAGTTTGCAAACTAGCTAATTTTAGGTCTACAATGGAATAATACAGATTTTCCGTAAGATTTCTTGAGTGAGCGTGAGAGTCTGAAAGCATGAGTGTCATGCCAAATGCGTCAGAGCTGGCAACCCAGAGGAAGTGATACCGGGGGAAGATGAAGGGAATGGTATTTTTATGTGCAAAAAAACTGAATAACAGAGCATTTTTAAGTAGTGTTGAACTGACTGTGCATATCCATTAGGGCTGTCACTTTTTAATTGATATTCGAACATTCATTCAAAATATTATTCGAACTATAATTAACCCATTTGAATTATAAAGTGTCATTGTAAGTGGATTAGACTGTTTGAGGTAATTTAGTTGATTGCTGTCAAATGTGACATTGTACAGGCTGGAAATTGCTATTTCTTGTCATTGTCTGCTAGGGTTGTAAGCAGACGAGCATTTATACCAGAAAGCACTGTTGTACACAGAGCAGTACCAGATTAGTTAGGTAAGGCTGTGAGCTTATGAATCTGTACTCTATGTAATATATAATGAAGCAAATGCAAAACAAAATTATATTTTTAGCTGTTGTTTATTACACAAAACAACAAAGTAATATTTATAACAAATTACACCAATTTCTAATCTACTGCTTGCTTACCAGTTTAGTATCAAAAGGTGTTTTATTTCTCATTGATGGTGTCTCAGATGTTTCACCAGATCTCTGCTGTGTCCAAGCTCTGGGTCATGATCCTCTACAGTCAGCCCTGTCCCAACACCTTCCTACATGGATACACAGGAAGAGACAGCATGTTGTAATGCTTACTAAGGGCACAGTGTTGTAGAACATCTGCCCACCCAAAACAGCCACACAAGCAATGTAACTGTGTGTTGCCAACTGATGTTCAACTGATAGTGAGATGAGTCTGAACTGGGTCTGGGCCAAATGTTGTTCAGAAATTGCCGCAGATCCGTAAACCAGATCTGGCCCAGTGTCTTTTTACACATTGGACCAATACTGGTCCGAATCCGCTTCCTGGATTTGAAACAGATAAGGGCCACATATGGACCAGATTTACAGACCAGTATTGGTCCGTTATGCAAAAAGACACTGGACCAGATCTGGTTTACGGATCTGCAGCAATTTCTGAACAACATTTGGCCCAGATCCGGCTCAGACTACTCTTGCTATGTGGGAAATATAGTCTAGTCTGTACGAAGTGTGAAAATACCTCACTTGTTTTACTTGAGGTATTATAACGGTTCAGACTCCCAATTGCTGTTATGGAGAACAAAACTTCATAGGATTGATATTGTTAGGGTATGTCATTGACGGCTGCTGTTGACTGCGTCATGCGCGCTTCATTTTTATTGGCTGACAGGCCCATCGTTCAAAAAGGGGCGCGATTAAACAGATAACGTCATAACCCCGTGGAGCTGTATGGATGACGTTTTTAATTTATAATATGAGTATTATTTGTTAGTAAAATTCTTATTTATAAGTGCAGGCAAAATTAAATGCTTTGACAAAAAGGGAACTATGGCTATCAAGGAGAAAAGGGGCAGATCCTTGAATACCTAAGCCCCCGCTTTGCGCGTGCATGGTTTGTTCTCCAGCAAACTTATAACTGGTAGCTGCTGGGATACAACAAACGGGAGAACTGGCCACTGTCAAAATCCACATCTACAATTAGCCTGGAAACCAAATTACTTATTACGTGGCTTTGGACTTTCAATTTTTTGGTACTGTGTGATTTAACATAAAGCCCTGTGCAAAATAATGGGCAACTGTGGATATTAGTCGGTAAGGGTTAAAGTCGATCTGAAATGTATATAAATCTTATACCTATATTGTCCTGTGGAAGATTTTGACATATAGCTCAGTTATGATGGATAATAGTAGGTCTACATTTTAATCATTTTTATTAAATGTTAAAATTATTTATGATTTGATTTACATTTTTAGTAAGACAAAAAAAAAAACTGTATTAAAGAAAAGACTTGTCTGATTTTGTAACATAAGAGGGCTGAAATGTAAATGAAGAAACGAATGAAAAATCGTGTACCTACAAAGGAAATTTAAAAAGTTTAACTTGCAAGTGTAACGCTATACAATGGGCGAAGTTACATTGAAGCTTGAGGTGTTCTTAACCCCCACCACCACGACATCCCCCCACGCACATTTACTGGTAAATACTTAATGTAGTGCTAAGTTTGTAATAGCTTTTGGGGTGCAGTCCTGCAGTGTCACCACCAGAGGGGGCAGTGAGTTCCAGTCTAACTTTCGTGAGATATAAAAAGTCACAAAGACCATTATTATTTCACATTTGATATTCTTATATATTATTAGAACTGCGTTTTAATAAACAACCATGAAAACCAACATTCAAACTAAAAAACAGACTTCATTTTTTTGAGCGTAAGGGGATATCATGCCGTCCTGGGAATCCCCTGCTTTACATCATGTACTTACTAGGATATGTTCCAGGTCCATCAAAGCCCCGTGTGAAAATGTTTGATTATGGAGGATGGGGAAGTATCTGATTCTGTAGTAGGAACCTAAGAATAGCAAAACCATACTTTAAGCTAAAACAATCTACAGAGTATCATCAAAACGACTACAGATTCCCTTGGACTTTACATTTTAACGTGATAACAATCTGTGAACTGCAAGCACTTGTCATGGCCAATGATCAGTGTATTTCAATAACGAATTGTCTTATCTAGCTGAAGTCTGGCATCAGATGACACAGCTGTGGTATGGAAGGGTAACCAATCCTATATCCAGTTTTCTTCTGTGTTTCATTCTTTCTTCTGTTAATGAAATAGTTATCAAAACGATGAGTTGGCAAGCTAATCCAGCAAAATGTCCAGGAAGGCATATCAAAATCATATCATATCAAAATCGCAATAGCAACGAGACACCAAAAGACAAATGAGAAAATAAATGAAAGGGACAGCATTGTTTGCATTATAGATTATAATACACGTTATGTAGGCCTATACCCTAAACACTATATTTAAACTTTCTTTTCTTCCATTGTGGTTTAGGATGTAGGCAATACATTAACCAGCTGACGTTCTTTACTTTAGCCTCGTTTTCTTTTGACCTGAACTAAAAATTTCAGAAATATGCCACATAAATGACTAATTTTACATCACTGCCCCACCTACACCCGGTGTGTGGAATTTGCATGTTCTCTCTCTCTCTCTCTACGTCAGGGGTGTCAAACTCCAGTCGTGGGGGGCGTGAGCCCTGTGTAGCTTAGTTCTTTCCCTGCTCCCACACAAATGATTCGGCTCAAGAGCTGTGTGGTAATTAGCACAAGGACGTGCAAATGTGTTACATGAGGGGAAACCCAAAAATGTGCAGCGCTCTGGCCTCCCACGACTGGAGTTTGACACCCCTGCTGGACGTGATCCGGTTTCCTCCAGCAGTCTGGAGACGTGCATCGTCTATAAAAAATTGCCTGGGGCATCCTGTCCAAGATGTACCCCTGCCTTGTGCCCTTTCTTGTCTGAGGTAGGCTCCATGACTCCACCGAGGTGGATAGCTGAGACATCTAATTGGGTTTCGCTGTACGCCGCTTACATTAAACGACTCATTAGTTCATAGCGAATAAAATCAGCGATTTCACCAGACTTTATAGCGCCACCGTGAGGCAATAGTCATCATATTCCTTCGGAATACTTTATGAAACTGCCGTGCAGAAATTGCATTCGAGGGACGCGTAAGGCTAAGATAAAACAGTGGAAGGCGTCAGCATTTGACCTTAACGTTACAATCACTGCAAAGTTAAGTAAATGAGGCTCGGCTCCTTTAAGAATTAGGATTTGGGAGTGACGCGGTTATGAAAGCCAGTTTATCCTTCTTTGCCTTGCAAAGAAAACCTAGTAGGCTGGATAGACTGCTTGCTAGACGGGGGCGGGGGGCACGAAACATTTGCCATCACACGAAAAAGGACACTTATGGGAGGAGCCTGAGCGTCGACTGCATATCATCGTTTGAGAACAACACGTCCGCAGGATTTGGGGATAAGTTTGCGCGGAGTTTCTTTGTGTTGGGGGATATTGCTGGTAACGAGGCGGGGACTTCAGCATGGATTGGGGCACAGAGCTGTGGGTAAGTTCAGGATTAAAATAAAAGAAACTAAAATAGTCTTAGGCAAAAATGCAGGTCAGAATCTCTTATCTGCGTCTGTGGCCAATTGCTTTAAGCGGGCTGCCACTTAGTAGTAGCTATAATAGTAATACATTGTAACTACTCATGCCTGGTGAAACATGTAACTGTTTAGTAAGTTTTAAAAAGTTTTTCCCTACCCTTCTTCCCCCCCGTGAGCCCCGATCACTCCTTTTTCCCCGTGTTGTTTGTGCGGTTCTCCTCCCTTTCCGCAGTTTATAAGTGACACATCTACGGCTGAAGTATGGCCTTCGCCCACCAAGTTACCGAGTCAGGCTGCCGGTTAAGTTAATAACTTATCCGGTCCATCCTTTTCCGTTCATGCGGTCAAACCCAATGTCGGGGGTGGGGGGTGTCCATGAAAAAGAGAAGCGTACTTTGTAATACCCCCTTAAAAACTATGATTTTACAAGTGACCGATTTGTGTGATTTATTTGTGCAGTAGTTATTTGTTTATTAGAGCACGATCATTTCTGGCACGCTGAAGTGGGTTAAAGGCGGCCGCAGTGCTTAACTAGTACAATAAGGATTTCTCAATCGGCAATGCTTGAAAACATTTTTAAATGAGCACAGAACAGAATTCCTTTGTCATTTACGGTACAAGGAAATTTCTCATGAGTTATAGTATGTTATAATCATTAGGATGAGTTGTAGTAATGGGACAGACATGCAGTAAGTGTTTCAAAATAAAGGTGTAAATCGACGTCCGCGGATAACCGTGGGTGTGTGTGGATGCGTCCTTCTGTTGCTTGGTAATAGTGTTTTCGTTTTACCTTAATTGAATGCCCTGCAGCTTCTTTATGAGATTGAAAAAAACAATTGCCCGTTGGAACTTTTCATTTAGTTGAGTGAGCAATGAGTTACTGGTTGAAGCGTTTCTCGAGTCTCATATAGGATACACAACTAGTAAATGTTTAATCGGGGAGAAAAAATGTTGCTCTTAGGCTATAGCTGAGTCGTACGTGTTTAGATATGTGGATGAAGGGGAGAAAGTCGGTGCTTTAATAATTTGGCATTAGGGGAAGGTTCACGGTGAGGATCGGGATTTGCGGTGGTGACTGAGACAGACGTTTGTGCGCCGACTTTCTGGATGATTCTTGATTTGGGACTAGTTGACGATCGGACCCTTTGTTCGGCTTCTCATGAGTCACGGCGTTTGAGGCGACGCGTGTGACTCATGAGAACCTTAATGAAACAGTCAGTCGGATGTTACTTAGTGAGTTTCACCCTGACGGGGTGTTCAGATCTGCCTTAAGGAGCCGTGATTTGCCTATTCCGCCATGCAGGAACCCGGGAGTGGTGATGTACCAGCAATCGGATGGGCGAACGCCGGCATATGTAAAGGTGTTTATCTCTGATGGTTTTTCGGGCGGGTGGGGTCACACTTAGGTAGCATAACAAACACGAACAGTATCGGTATTTCTTCGTTCTCGTTGTGAATAAAGACTCGACCATCCCACCCGCAGCCGCCATGGGGATGCCAGTGATCCGCTATCCAAACCTCGTCTTTACTTGCATCTTCTGCGTCCACGCTCACCCGTCCGTCGGTGATGCTCTAGTTTAGACGAGGGGGGGATTAGAAGAGAGTTTCTGACCTCATTAATATGCCCCCGCCCATCCCACCCCAGCGCTTCCTTGTACAGGAACGCCAGCCTAATTAGTACTGCCCTAATTTCCTGCAGTCAGGACGTTCAGTGTTGTTCATGAATTTTATGATCACTTTTGTCTTGCTGTTAACCCCACACACCCCCAATTGGTGTGAAGACAGGCTGTTTAGTGACGCTGATGGTGTTTATGATCAGGATTTGCTGTTCAGTGTGTTTGGTGCCTGTGACATGGTGGGACAGGTTGATGAGGAAGAAGATGTGCGGTCTTGGAGGTGCAGAGGCGATATTTACATAGATTTAATGACAGTTTCCGCCAGAACCTGTTTCTGGGATAGTGCTTGCTTCGTACTTCCTCATGAGAGGCTTCTCCAAAGCTTTTTGCCCATGAAATTTGCTGCTCATCTTATCGTTTTCTTCCAAAGTGACCTGTAGATTTTCTACATTTTACGGGCAATTGTCGTTTAAGTTTACTGGAGCTGAGAGCTTTGGGATTTGGACCAGCAAACTTTGTGTGTGTTTGTGTGTTGCCCCTTACCTCGCAATGCGTTCCCCGGCACTGGAGTCCAGACTGGCCTGGATTCTCATGCTCTCATCACACGCAGCCTGTTTCCTGCATCGCTGACTGGTGGGATTGGAGCTGTTTTGGGCTGTTGCTTACTGGGAGGCCCGTCCCCAGTTCGTGACCTCAGCGAAGCAGCATGGCAGGCCAAGGATAAACGGTTTCGTGTGACGACGGCTAAGGACATCAACTTCCTGCAAATAGTTTTGGGCTGAATCTTTGCCTGGCCCAGTGTGACACTGCGGCCTTTATTTTCATTTAGTCATTCTTACGCGTATTCAACTGGCAGCAATCTGCAGGTTTGTCACTTGCCGGATTGATTTCTTGTCCTCCTTGAAGGCAGGGTGAGTGTTCATGAAATTTAAGTCCTGCCGGCTGTCTTCCTTGCAGACGACGGCAGTGAAAGTAGTGTTGGTTGATGGAGCCGCAGCACCCTCAATGCTGGGCACTGGCCAGTGGATCCATCCGCCACTGCCACTGCCTCACACCAATCCAGTGGCTGATCAAACAAAGTGACAGTCTTAGGGCTGAAGATATTCCAGAGAGTTTGTCTTGTGCACAGTAAACAATCAGTGACACCATGCAACCCTGCTGGGGTTCTTGTTTATCGTTGTAAAAGTGGTTTATGCAAGTAAACGTGTCCTTTCAGTTCTCAGTAAACATAAATTAAACGAAAAGCACATCACAAGAACAAATTAAGATGCTTACAGTAAAATGAGGAATACGAGTAAAGTTATGTGTCTAAACACAATGCGATGTAAACAATATACAAACAATGTAAAATATAAACAAAGTAAAAGTATAAACATCTAGTTCAATGAGAGGTGGATAACTGGACAGTCCTATGGGTGGGGTTGTTAATGCAGCAGACGGACGTGACGTGACCTCTGTGCTACCTACCCTGGCTAATATCAGATACCTTTTCCTTATGTAATAGGTTATGATATGGGTGCTTGTACGTGGGAGTCAGACTTTGTTTAAAAACGTGATGCCAAGTCAGTTTCTTTTAAGTCTTAGATGTGATTTTTAGGTGCCTCTTTGGGAAATGATGTCCAGAAATAGGGGATTTAAATGGGTCTGACCCACATTGACCGTTCAGCATGTGCTGTAGGGGTTCCTGTTGCTGTGTGAGATCTGTGGTCCCTAGCGAGTCTTGGCCAAGGTGCTATTTAGAACACAGCAATACCACAGTCCCGCTGGGTGCTCTGTGCTGGAACGGGGAATCTGATTTGAGAAGCTGTCTCAGGTAGTTAGAAATTATTTGACTATAATCTGAAATCAGGATTAGTGCAGGGAGTCACGTGGGCGGCTCGGTGGGTAGTGCCGTCGCCTCAGTCATGTAGTGGCAGGGGTTCGAATCCCACTTCTGCTGTTTCTGGGCAGGTTGCATGCTCTCTGCCAAGTCAGGTGGATTTCTCCCTCTGTCCAAAGATGCACTTTGGACAACTGATCCTATCCAACCTCGTGATCTGTGTTGAATCGGACAGGTGCTCTAACAAGGATAAACAGATGCATGGGAGTTAAACTTTTAGGTAGATTTATTTTTGTTTTACTTCTTAAACTGGTTTGCGTTGCAAAACTGTCTCCTCTTCGTCATTGAGTCCTGAAGCCGTTGTTTCTTCAGGTGGATTTAAGCGAGGAAATGCAGGCAGACTGGTTTGGGTTTGGTCTCGTGCAGCCAGTTGAGTTTCTGACAGCCCCATTATTGTTCTGCTTATAGGGAAAAGTGCCTTTATTACCAAAAAGGGAACTTTTTAGGAGGTTCCGTTCACGTCATCGACGGGCACGGAGATGCATGTGCTCCGGGCGGCATAAACGTGTGCCAGCTCTCGCTTCTTGATTCTTGTTACGAATCGGCCTCTTGTTGTTTTGAAACTGCAAGGTTTGTGTGTCTTTAGTGTCAACTGAGTAACCCAGCCTATCATCACCCGGTGGAGTGTTGGGGATCGACATGGCCGAACACGTCCAGGGAGGGATTCCTGACACCCCTCCCTTGGTCTGTATGCCAGGTAGTTACTGTAAAGTTAAGTGTTGGGGGGGAGGGGGGTGCAGCATGTCCACACATGAGGAATCTGAACCCAATGTGATGAGACGAGGTTAGCATTTTCACCCTGTGGTTGAGGGTGGGGGCGGGGGCGGGGGGGATTGTGATCTATTTGTATCCACCATTTCCTTTAGGTAGACTTGATCTTCATTGATCTGTAGGGAGAGAATGTTCTTTCCTTGTATAAACCATCAGGGCGGTGGGTGAGACACATTGTAGTTCAGTTTAGGGTCAGGGATTGTCTGTGCAAGAGTAACAATGTTTTTTTTTTTTCTCTCATCTATTTGCAAACCAAAAATGTACCCTAGCTGCTTTGCCCCACCCCCCTTTCCTCATTGGTGGAGAATTTGAGGGTGGAGGTGTGGTGACAGTCGCATGGTCTGTGTTGCGTGAGCGAATCTGACGCGCTGCGTGCATGGGAGGCTCAGCGTGGGCAGATGTTGCTGGAGCCGGGTTCAGATCTGGCAGGAGTTCTGTTTTGTCAAGTTAACGTTTTCTGGGGTGCCCCCCCCCCCCCCCCCCCCTGTCCACTGTTGCTTCTTACTTTGTGCCCATAGCGTCTGGGAGAGGCTCCAGACCTTAGTCAAGCAGGTACAGAAGATGGATGGATGGATGAAGCTTATATTTCCCTTCCGTTTTTTTGTCAGTTTACTCTGGTTGCTTATGGTGATATTCAGATTACTTCATGAGATCTATCCGTCCGTCCGTCCTCTGCAATGGGCTGCCGTGTCCTCCAGAGCGGTGTGTACCCTGCTCTATGTCCTTTTCTGTGTCTGCTCCAGATTGATGACACCTATAATTACCAGCTCCCTGAGTAATGAGGGTGAATACGCATGCTCTGCGTTCTGTCAGTATCAGTGCGTTCCTCCGGGGATTTCGGTCCTGGCCTTAAGGCAGCGATGCCGACGAGTCACTGCCACAAGCAGTGAGACTCCTAAACCACAGCACATAACTGGACAACATGATGGACAACGACACACAATCTACTTACTTAATTTCTTCCATCTGGAAATTATAAAAACATCTGTACCTCATGGCACATCTGCACCTTACCTTGTCTGCACCTTATGGCACATTATTTATTGCATGGTAAATGCATCTGTACTTCTGTATAAATATGTATATAAATTAGTTTTTCCTCTTATTTTATACTTATCCTCTGAGTACTTATCTCTTACCTCTCTTTTCTGGTATGTCTAGCACAGTCGGAGAGTACTTTTTCAGCCAGGGAAACACATTTCACTATATGTTGTACCAGCTATAACTATATGTGACAAATAAAGAATCTTGAATCTTGAATCTTGAGTCTGTCATGTGGAAAGCTCATTTGGTCGCCTGGTATATGTAGTTCTGTGGTGCAGATTTGTAGTTTTTTTTTTTTTTTTTCCTTTTCCTTCCCAGACCAGTGGATATAACTGTGTTTACCTACTAGTAAGGCTGCAGATTGGTTCTTGGGGTTGACTGTGGCTGCCAGGGTGGGCTCTCATTTGCTGTGGTGGGTAATAAGCCCCACCCATCTTAATGCCATTTCTCCCCACAGGACCAGTGCGACACAATTGATAAGCACACGCAGTCCGGCCTGGAGCTGGTGGAGAAGTACGTGAAGTTTGTGAAGGAGCGGACGGAGATCGAGCAGCAGTACGCCAAGCAGCTGAGGTGAGGCTCCCAGCCCTGGGGCCGCCATGCCGGACCTCGACCGGGATCTCTGGCCAGCTTGAACTTCCCTTTCATTCTTTCGCACTCTCACCCTCTTCCTGTTGTTTCCCCCGAATGCCACTATCTTCTGCTCCTTCCTTTGGAGGAAGTGGGAGTGGGTAAGCGTCTGACAAAGAGGATGTAGTGAGAGAAAAATGACAAACACTGCAGTTGTGGTTTGGAGAAAGGTAGCAGCGGTGCCCTTGTACCCCCGGGGCACGTGATCACCCTCTGGAAGGCTTTCAAAGTCGTGCCCAAGTGGATGATGAACAGCTTTGGCAGAGTTGGATACATGCAGAACCCATTGATTAAAGTTTTTTTTTTTCCTTTGCTTTGTGTGACGGGTTTTTGAGACTGTGCTCCTTTTGTTTGTCAGCGTTGGCTGTGCAGGGGCTCATGTCGGCTGTGTAAGCAGCAGCGGCATCGCAGATTGAGGGCAGGGGGTGGCGTTAAGATTTCTGGCTTTTTTTTTTTTAATTAATCACTACCTTTTCATAATCCTCTCGGTATTCAAAGGAAAGTCATGCATTTGCTACATCCTTCTTGTTGTTAACTGATTACTGATGGCTAATTAGTTACTAATTGCTTTTGGATGCTGTGGATATGAATTGTGATTTTAATTTTTTTTTCTTCCCCTGCTTTGCATGGGTTGTCTGTCTGAATCTTGATCTCGCTATGCGACAGCGAGCTGGATGTTGGCCCCAGCTGTGCAGAAGTGTGATTTTACTTTTAATTTCACTACAACTTGCCACCCCCCCCCAAACTCGCGTCTGTCGCATCCCAACCCTTAATCTCGGTTAGTGGTTGGCGTGAGGGAGCAGTTTGCTGGTTTTCTCAGGAGGGGACGTGGACACTGTGTCCATAGTGTTGATTCCCGCTGACCTGTTCTGACTGGATTGTCCCTCTTGCAGGAACTTGGTTAAGAAGTACGCGTCAAAGCGAGGCAAAGACGACCAGGAAAACAGGTGAGAGGAGCTGGTGCTTCAGGCCCAAAGGCCGGGAATAAGCGGCTGGGAATCCGTCCGTCCGTCTCCTGGCTGCTTGTCCTGCTGAGGGTTGCGTGGGTCCCTGGAGCCTGTCACTGGCAGCACTGGGCACAGGGCTGGGGCACCGCCCTGGATGACGTCACACATACAGTCATACTCTGGATAATTTAGGGATACCAGTCAGCCGAATGCATAGTAAAATTTCCTGGTGGCACATGCAATTTCTTTTTTTGTCTTTTGGCATTTTCACCACTTCTACTCCAAGCATTGGACTTTGATTTGGTTTTATGGCAGCTTTGTGGGCTAAAGAATCTTCTGGAAGGACTCTGGGCTGCTCCAAAGGCCTGGAACTGACAGTTCTTGTGGTAGTTCTCGCCCAGATTAGAAGCAGGACAGCTGCAATGTAGGTTTTTTTTTTTTTTGTCATCCCAGAGTTGATTCAGCGCTAGGTGGGTTGCGTACTCCTCGTGTATCGTGGGGGTGCCATTGGCCTGCTTCTGGCTGGAGCTTGGTGCCATGTTATTGACGGTCATCGGTTTGGGTGAAAAATGGGCCACAGCTTATATCAGATGCTAATGTGACGCGATCGAGATTCTCTTTACGCCAATCCTTCTCTCATTTCGTTCACCCAACGCCTCACTTCCAGGTTCACCAACCACCAGTCCTTCCAGGACATCCTGAACGAGATGAACGACTACGCCGGGCAGCGGGAGGTCATCGCCGAGAACATGATGATCAGGATCTGCTGCGAGCTCACAAAGTATCTACAGGAGCTGAAGCAGGAGCGCAAGTCGGTGAGGGAGTGCGAGATCTTAGCAGGAGATGGGGCGGGGAAAGATGCGAGTGCAGACGAGGTTGGGGGGGGGGATTATTTATGTATGTGCCTCCTTGTAAAGGTCACATGACTGTGTTACAGTGCATCATGGGGATTTCCAGCCAACATGGACACCATGTCTGAAATTCTGCCTGAGACTAACATTGGGTGAATCTCAATGTGCTTGACCGTACTTGTGTTCTCATGTACCCGTTTTATGTTATCCTCCATTGTCGAAGACCAGTTCCAATTTTAAGAATAAAAATACAGAGGATGGTAAAAATCGCTGGATCTTGGCCCCAAATATCAAGGATACATCAGTCGCATCCTTGCCGAACGAGACCAATCCCATGATTCATTGCACCCCATGTTTGTTCTTGGAAGGCAAATTAACAAGGTCTTGCCAAGACTGCAAGTACGATCTTCGCATTCTTGGTATTGAGATTCACCCACTGTCATTGTTTGTCTGGCTCCTTTCACCTCTGACCATGTACACCCATGACCTTTGACCTCTGCAGTATCTACTGGAGGCAAAAAGAGCCCAGCAAAGCCTGGAAAACGGCTACAAGCAGCTGGAGAGCGTGAGTGACAATTCAACCGTCTGTCTGTCTCATCTGCTGCTTCATAGTCACATGGCGTAGGAGGCGCGTGATTGGCTGCTGGTAGATGAATGTTGGCGCCCCCTTTTGTGCAGAGTAAGAAGCGCTTTGAGCGGGAGTGGCGGGAGGCGGAAAGGGCAGCCCAGTATGCAGAGAAGACGGACCAGGACCTGAACGCCACCAAAGCCGACGTGGAGAAGGTACCGTGTCGGAACTGAGATGATGTGTGCTGGTCCCTTTAATTACCACCTGATAGGAGGTGAATCACCAGGAAGGTTCCAGCAATATGATGGATAAAGTCTCCCTGTCATGTTTTAAGTCTGTTGTTCATTTAGTTGATTGATCGAATACAATAAAAACTGCTTTTCAAACATGAGATTTTGAAGCATAATTAGCTGCTAAGCATAAACTGACAGGGCTGTCTGTTGGTTCCCCCTCCCCTGCCCTGTGATGCCCCCCCCCCCCCCCCCCCCCCCCCCCCCCCCCCTGCCCCCCCCCCCCCCCCCCCCTGCACATGCAGGCCAAGCAACAGGCGCACCTGCGGACGCACATAGCGGAGGAGTGCAAGAACGAGTACGCCTCCCAGCTGCAGAAGTTTAACAAGGAGCAGAACCAGTTCTACTACAGCAGCATCCCTCAGGTCTTCAACGTGAGTAGCCCCGCCCTCCTACGTGTCAGGACACGCCCCCGCGCTGGAGACGCGGCGTTTCATTGGTGCCTGAGGGGCCCTGAACGCGGCTGTCTGGAGCTGGGAAGCTGGTTCTCCTCCTGGGGGGGTTGAAAGGAGGCTAGGATGGGACAGCTTGAACTGGGGCAGCGGGTGGAGGGGTGGTTTGAAGGCTTATGTGAAGTGTCCGTCTGCGGGGCACTAACTTCGCTGCCCTGCAGAAGCTGCAGGATATGGATGAGAGGCGTGTCCAGCGGCTCGCGGAGGGATACGCGCTGTTCGCCGACACTGAGAAACGGGTGCTGCCCATCATCGGCAAATGCCTGGAGGGCATCACCAAGGCGGGCGCCAATACTGACAGCAAGCAGGTAGTACGCCCCCGCCTTTCGCTTCCCACTCGCGGCACTGCCACGTCACTGCGCTCAGCGGGCGTCTGTGTGGCCCCCAGGACTCGTTGACGCTCATCGAGCAGCACAAGTCCGGCTTTGACCGCCCGGGAGACCTGGAGTTCGAGGACTACAGCCAGGGCATCAACCGCACGTCGTCGGAGAGCAGCCTGGGCACCCCCAAGGGCCCGCTGGAACTGCTGGGCAAGAACAGGAACAAGCTGTGGCCATTCAGTAAGAAGAGCAAGGTAGGCCTGCCTGTGCCGCAGCTCCCCGAGAAAAGCACACAGTCACTCTCAGGGCTGCACTCGCACCAGGGACATACCCCCTCCAGCAGGTCCGTAAATACCCATGTGGTCTGTTTATAGCATTTTCCCTGGGGAAGGGGCAGCGCACGGACCATCTCCCCCACCGGCTACCTGTACGCCTGTCCGTGGATGACCTTCATTGTGCCGCATGATCTGTTTTAGCCGGGTTTTCCTAACTGGAAGTCCGGCATCTGGCTGATTGCTAACATCGGCCTTAGGACAGAACACCTGCCAAAGACCTCCCCCACCCCTCCCCCGACTCGTACCCAGACATCTCGGCTAACCTGCCCCCAGCGCATTCTGGCTAATCCTACCTGTGTCTCCTGTCTTGTGATTGGCTCCATGTCCTATCTGTCTGCTCTTTAACACCCTCCCTTTCCTCTGTCCCCTGTCTTGTGATTGGCTCCATGTCCTATCTGTCTGCTCTTTAACACCCTCCCCTTCCTCTGTCCCCTGTCTTGTGATTGGCTCCATGTCCTATCTGTCTGCTCTTTAACACCCTCCCTTTCCTCTGTCCCCTGTCTTGTGATTGGCTCCATGTCTGTCTGCTCTTTAACACTACCCCCAAGTGACGGCTAGTTGAGCGTTACATTTTTTTAATCTTCTCTTCCCTCACTCTACTACCTTGTGGTGATGGATATACCTCCAAGCCCAGGGCAAACACTGATCTGAGATCAGAGTTGGTGTGGGAAGGAGGAGCGGCCATTTGCTGGTTCATTCAGTTCTTCTATTCAGAATAAAAACCTGAAGGCACTTCTTCAGTAACCTTTGTCTCCACCATCTCGCAAAGCACGTGCCCTCCTTAATGCTTCTAAAGAATATTAACGTGCTACCTCTTCATGTCTCACCCCTCTCCAAAGTAATGTCTGTTTCGTTACTCTTACCTAAACCATCTTCTGTTTTCTAAGACTCCTCAAAGGACTAAATGTTTTGTATTAACTGGGCGAAAGGTCTTTGAGCTCTGTCCCCAGCGGGACACATACCAGTGTCTCTGGGAGGTGTGGATTCTCGTCAGGGGCGTGGCCTGTTGCCATGGCGATGGCTGAGACGCAGTGAGCTGTTTCCTCATTGTCTCGGCTGTGTTCTCAGTGTTGGGGTCTCGTCTGTGCTGTGGTGGAGTTTTTCTAGTGCTGCATTGTTTCTGTTTTTTTCTGTTCTCCTCCCTCTTGGTGACGTTGATGGTGTCTCTTTTGTTGTCATTGTTTGTGTGTGTGTTTGTTTGTTCGTCTTGTCCCTCGTCCCTTCCTGTGCTTTTTTCGCTTGGACCCCTACCCCTGTCCACCCCCACCCCCGAAACCCTCAGTTACCCTCCCCCCCGCTCACGCCCGTCTCCTCGCCCTACGTCCCCGCGAATGGACCCCCCTCCCCCAAGTTCGCCCGGGACCCCCTGTCCTACTGTCTGAAGGAGATCAATAAGACAGTCAAACCCAGAATGGCCTCCTTCCGCAGTCTCAAGCGAGCGGTGAGTCCCAGAGGTCATGTGACAGAGGTCATGTGACCACGCTCACACCGCACTGGGAGCCAGCCCACCCTGTTCTAATTTTATTACGTTTTTTTGTCCTTTAAAGCAAATGTGTTGTCCAGGGAGAGCAGACAATTTGGGAACACTTTCATCTCCCCAAAATGAATTCTTCTACAAATTACGAATGTGTATATTAAATGCGAGCTCGCCGGAGGGGTTATAAAGCCAGATCTTTGTTTTGACCCGTAGGTGTTTGTTCCGGAGAAGTCCGTGGTAATGGATGCTTCCGGCACATTGTGTGGGATATCAAAGGGTTGTGGGTAGATCTTGCTGTCACTTTGTCTTCTCCTGTCTGGGAACCTTTCTTACGGCAGCAGAGGGCCATGAATTAAGTGGCTTCTAATTACAGATTGAGCCCAAACCAATGTTTACTCCTAAGCGGTGCCGGGCCAGAGTCTCGTGCTGGCACGACCTTGAGAATGAGCTCACACTGCATTGTCGTGAAATGGAGAGAACGGCTGAAAAGTTTTGGGAGTAAAGATTGGGGGCCATCTGGTGGAGGTTTATGTAATTACAGCTAATGGTGATCTTGAATCCTTATTAACATTCTGTGGCTCTCCATGTGCCTCCCCCACCACCCCCTCAAGGTTTTAAGATAAGGACCTTAAAAATGGAAGGCCCCATCTTTGGGGGGGGGGGGTCACTGGATTTGTGCAGTGTGGAATGGGGTTCTTTTGGGGTTCTTTATGGGACATGCTGGTGGTATGGGTGTGAGGTTCTGCAGGGATGTCAGGGTATGACTGCCATCCCCCCCCCATCCCGCCCCCAGCCGACAGCCACCGAGGATTTCGCCCACCTGCCCCCAGAACAGCGTAGGAAGAAGCTCCAGCGGAAGATGGACGACATCAGGAAGGAGCTGCAGAAGGAGCAGGACCAGAGGTAGGCATCATCAGCATCCCATAACCCACATGCACCTGCAGGGGGCGTCTGCGGGGCCTCTCACTGTCTCCACACCCCCCCCCCCCAGCGAGGCCCTGCTGAAGATGAAGGACGTGTATGAGAAGAATTCTCAGATGGGAAACCCAGACAGCCTGTCCCCCCAAATAACACAGACTGCCCAGAACGTGGAGAGACTGCGGGGGGAGCTGGCCAAGTATGAGGTGAGCTCTTAGCCCCCACCCCCCTGCGTCCCACCCCCGAGTTGGTGGCTGTCCTCACTATCTGCTTGGCGTTTCAGTCGTGGCTGATGGAGGCGGGGGGTCGTGGAGAGAGCGTGCGCTATTCCAGCCATCTGAACAACAACGGTGCCATCAACAGGTGAGCCCCCCCCCCCCCCCCGTTACACCCAAAAAACGACTCTTCCATCACAGGGGGCTGTGTGTGGCTCAGTGGGTTAGGGCTACAGCTCCAGTTCATTCACAGTGGTTTCATGCTTGGGACCATGAGCGTTGGGTCTTTTAAAACGTCCAATTTCTCCAGTTCACTGACTGTCTGCTAAGAATGTAAATGTGATGCGGTCTCCATGGTAATTAACTCTCCACGTGTGTTTTGGTTGTCACAGGCCCAACAACGCTAACTCTGTGGAGGGCGACCTCTCCCAGCCCATCTACACCGAGTTCGAGGACGACTTTGACGACGAGGAGGTGGACGCGCCCATCGGCCAGTGTATGGCACTCTACAGCTTCCCAGGTAACTCGCTAATTGCCCTGTGGGTGCTTTCAAACTGAACACCCCCAACGTGCTGCGGACACATACCGATTAAAGCTACTTAACTAATCAAACTAACTTGATTAACGGCTGAACATTTGCAGAACAAGTGGAAAGCATTCCGTGTCTGTGTAGGGATGAAAATTAACCTAACAATATTGAGATTAAGGTGGTGTAGGATTTGTGGATTTGTTATGGGAGTTTCTCAGAAGTAAGAGTGGGTTCTGGGTGATGTGTTGGTGTCCGTTATCTCTGGAAAAAGTTCAGGTTTCATAAACGGTTTTTTTTTCCACCCCCTCCAGAAAGCCTATGCGTCTGTGTCTGTGTCTGCGTCTGTGTCTGCGTCTGTGTCTGCGTCTGTGTCTGCGTCTGCATCTGTGTCTGCGTCCGCCCCGAGTTTTGCCATAGCACACTTGTTCCCAGTCTCCTTTGATTTGCTGTGTTTCGGATGCTGCTATAATGGAATTTTGCCTATCCACCCCCCCACCCCCACAGGATCCAGCGAGGGGACCCTATCCATGCAGGAAGGAGACATGCTGAGCGTCGTGGAGGAAGACAAGGGTGATGGCTGGACCCGGGTACGAAGCACCAATGGCGATGAAGGCTACATCCCCACCTCCTACGTGAAGATCACCATCCCTCAGTGATGCCCCCCCCCCCCC